GCTCGCCCGCCTGCCCGTGCTGCGCCCGCGCCGCCGCTCCAGCTGCGTGGCCTTGGGCGAGACCGCGGCGCGCTGCAAGATGTCCCGCCGGCCCTCGCTGCCTTGCATCTCCCGGGAGCAGGTAAGGCTACCCGGCGGCGGGTCCCCGGGGCGAGAGGGGGGCCGAGGGAGTCTCCTCTGTGGGAGACAGGCGAGCGCTGCGGCTCTTCCCCTGCAGCCAGACCCGGCCTGCGAGGGGCGCTGCGCGGGGACTGCCCGCCGGTGTTTGCAGACAAGGTTGGGAGCCGCTCTCGCCTGCGCGGGGCAGCGAGTCCGGCTACCTGTGGCCTTTTCTTAAACCGAGCCCTGGAAGGTACAGGCAGCCACCACCTTTGTTGCTGCTGTCATCATCATCTTCATATTGTTATCCTCCTCCTCCTCTCTTCAGAAGGAGACTAGGCGCCTACCTTGCTGGGCTGGTTTGTCCCCCGCAGTCTTTCCTGCCCAGAGCAGGGGGATGGCTCCGATGCTCTCATCAGGTCCCTTCCAGCTCCAAACTGCTGTGGATCCTCGTTGTCATCGTCAGCATCTTTCTCCTACTCTTAGTGCTTCCTTGGCTTCCACCAGCCTTCTCGGGACACCAGAGGCAGGGGCCCCAGCACCAGCGTCTTCGCGCTTCCATAGACATTACATTAGGGCTGGAAGGGACCTCACAAGATCATCGGGTCCAGCCCTTTTTCTGTCTGAGTCCTCGTGGACAACATGCTTCCCTCCCCACAAATAGAGGGTGGTTTGGGGGCACTCCCAGTGGAATCTTCATCCTCGCTGTCTTTCCCCCTCCTAGCTAGCCGTGTTGGTTGTTTTCTCCGCGGGAGGTGCGGTTGCTGGGGGGGGCGGGCGCCAGTGGTGCTGCGGCGTTTGCATGCGGGTCCGGCTGGGGAGCAGCCTGATGCTTTGTGCAGCGCCAGCTTGGTGCGGGGCTGAGGCGCTCCGGGCTGTGTGCAGGGGAAAGCGAGGCCGCCGCAGCCGAGAGGGGAAAAGCCGCGTTTGCAACAGGTTGGGGAACCAGGAGTCGCTGCTGCGTCCCGAGGGCTCGGCGCAGACTGCCGCTGCGGAGCTCAGTGAAGTCTGACTAGCCCGGCTCCGCAGCGCGGTTGGGAGACGATCTGGTGCGGGTGTTTCCCAGAGCTGCTGCTCCAAGTTGCCCCGTGGCTGTGAAGGCGGGGGGGAGTTATCGGGCATTTCTGCTTGTGCACGCACATCAGGAGCGCAGCCCCACGGTACTGTGTTTCGACATGGTAGGTTAATTCAAAATGTAAGCAGCTGTAACGGATTTGAGAAATTATTTTCTGACAGCAACCAACCTTGAGGTGCTGATTAGGTACCCAACATGAGGCACTCATTAAAACCACTGCATCTGCACCTTTCAAATAGTCAGGGTCTATTATCCCGCGATTAAGGTTTTACCTTCCTTAAGTCTTCTGTAGTGCCTTGCATTCTTTCAGTTAAGTAGTAGGTAACGAGTGTTTTGCGTGTCCATGATAGGAAAAAGACAAAATATGCTGAAAAGTTTAATGAAATCCCCTTCTGGATGGCAAAGGCCATCCATTTCAACTTTAAGCTGAATTCCACATACGTTGCTAACACTGAAGAACTTTCTTAAATGCCATCTCAAACTACATTGAACATTTTTTTTGAAAAAGCTGAAGTAATGAGTGTTCATAGTAATATGCAACTGTTTGCAGAGACCCATAATGGCCTTTCCATCAAAACAAAAACAAAAAAAATCAGTTTCTTATTTTATTTCTTTTTAGCAGTAGATTGTGCTCCATGAAGAAGGATTTAAACATGTTTTATGGATATGTTATGGACGTTTTTGACTTGTAATGCATTTCCTATACAGTATTACATGGGCAATGGTGTAAAGAGTAAACTCACTATTAAATCCACTATTTTTTCAATCTGATTTAGAGGAGATGGTCACTGTGGAGTTCATAAATCAAATAATAAAGCTATACCTATGTATATAGATTTAAAAAAAAATCTCATATCTGAAAATGGAATCAATGCAGTATATGCTTGCTTGTCTGCTTTGATCTTTTTCTGTGGTTTCATCATTGAGACATGAGAATTATGAGGGCTTAAATGTATAAAAAATAAACTCCAAAGATAATTTCATGTTTTTTACCATCACTACATTTTACCATCTATAAAATCCACTTTCCAATACTGACATCTTTAACCAGTTAAATTTTACTTGGTCTTCAATGAGTGTTTTATAACAAGGTCAGAGGAATACAAATAATACACTGTAAGCCCACAATGCTATGAATGTGCTTTAATAATATAAGGTAGCTTGGTTCCTATGGTGATATAGTTAATGTATTTAATAAGGCTATTAATATGGTATATTGACACGGGATAGGCTGGGGGGAATAAGAGCTGCAGAACAAACTGAGATTTTTGACTTAATCAGGAAAAATATTAACATAACTGGAAAACTGAATGTTAGCAATTTATACGTGCTGAATTATAGTTATGGCTGGCAGCTTGCGTTTTGCTTAGTCTGGTTAAATCCTATGAGAAAATTATTATATTGGGTTCATAATCTATTTTTCAGTAGTCAGCTAAAGCTAATACTTCGGAAGAGGTCTGTGTATGTAGTGGCAAATAAATGGCTTCTTTCTTGTGGCTCCAGTCTGACACTCACTGAAATCAGATGGTCCTGTCACTGTCTCAAGTGGGAGTAGGAACAGGCCCTCTTGGCCTGATCCTGTAAATGTTTCCTAAACTTGAGTAGTCTGTGTTTACAGGATCAAGCTCTGTTTTGACAAGTATGGGAATTATATTACTGAAATGTCTTTACAATCATGTTTTTCCTTGCCTTTGCTGTTTAGACTGTTATTTCATACATACCTTAGGCATAACTTTTAACAGATTTTTTTATGGTGTGTGTTGTTTCTTTTTAATACAACAAGCTATGTTTTACCAAATGTAAGTAGATTTGTTTAAATAGCTAGTTAGTTAACATTTTGTAAATATTAAATGCAAATCAAAAAAGATGGAATATAGCTAACTTAAAGCCTAAATATCAAATGAGCAGTTCTCCCCACATACCTTAAAACCATATACATGTTAGTGTTTCTGTTGTGTACTGAAATAAAATTTGATTTTTAATCTGAATGCATTAGTAGTAAATGGACTTCTTGTAACTATGTATGGTCATGTTCGTCTTGGGCCTGGTGTGATATTTATGTATTTACAGCAGTGTATTTGAGGTGTTAAAAAAACAAAAATATAAAGACCACTTAGTCAAGCCACTATATTTAAAAAAATGTTTATGTCCTAATTGTTTACACTAATATCAAATGGAAATTTATTTTGACTTCAGTAGGTGCAGGAACAATCATAAGGATCTGTTCCTGTAAATGCTTGCGTACAGGAGCAGCCCTGAGGGCTTCAGAGGGACGGCTTGCATGAATTAAACATAATATCTCTTGCATATTTAATAGTTCAGTTGGAGTCTGCAGAAACATGAAGTATTCCTAAACAGTAGTGGTCAGTATTACTGGCCTTTGTAAATTTTAAATACCAAATAAGTTTATATAGTTTGTCTTGAAAAGTGCTATAATATAAGGGTATGGAAACATGTACACTTATTCAGTTTTAATCCTGTCTTATTCAGAAGGCTCAGAGCAGTTTACAGTAAACAGACAACCCACAGACAGGATTCCTCAAACACTCCAAGACCTGAGAACTCCCAAGTCTTGCTCCCCCCACACTATTGCCTCCCTGGCCCACAAGCAAGTCCTGCCAATCCCAACCACACCTCCCAAGTGACACCTGTTTCAGTTTCCAAGAACCCTTCTTCCTGTAACCCTTGATCACCCATTCCCACCAACCCAGGGGAGATCCCTCTATCCTTCCTCTCTTTGAGGTCTCCTCCAAGCCCACACCCCCTCTCCTAAAGAGGGCCTGTGGCTGTTGTTCCCCTCTTTCCCCTCCCCCCCATGCACCTAACTCCTACCCTCCCCAACAAACAAAAGCAAATTTCAAAGAACCTTCATACAAAAGTGGAAATTTAAAAAACTCCTGTTCTTGCCTCTGTTACTGACCACAAGGTGCCCTTAAGCTTTGCCTTTCTGGGATGGCCTGCCAGCTAAGTCCACAGGCTGTGCAGGTCCTTCTTCCTCCTTTGGGTGAGTGATGTGGCACCTAGGTTGAGTTCAAGCCCTCCCTCAGAGAGGAGTACCTTGAGTAAAGGGAGTGATGATCATGATCTATCCCAGTTCTTCAGCTCCAGGGTGGCCTGCTGGCTTTGTATTTGGGGCCCTTTCAAAAGAGGAGGGAGTGGCTTTCTCCCAGTGGTGCATCCGCTGTTAACTTCTAAGGGTTACTTATGAACAAGCTGGGAGTGGTACAGATGTAGCAGATCTCCAATTTTAACACTGCTTCATTCTGAGTTTAAAGTTGGAGCAGTTTTGCTACACTGGTATTGTTCCTGGCTTGTTTGCCCACAACTGTTAGAACATAATGGCTGCTGTACCTTCCAATTCAGCAGTTCCCATTTTGAAATGTTCCCCTTTTCAAAGGGCTCCAAATGAACATGTGTCCATACCCTAACCTAGGTAATAGTAGATATGTATTACTTCTGGTCAGATGTACAGCACGTGATTGGGCTTGCTGAGTATAAACAAGATCACCTACTGTCTAAAAAGTGTTTTGTTTTGCAGAAGATGGAATTATTTTCTGTTTTTAAATATATGGGGCACGTGTAACTGAAACTATGAATGCGGCTAACTTGTTTAGCTATCTGGGTTTTTATTCAGAGATGAGGGAAATTTAGCTTGTTTTACAGATAAGATTATTTCCACTTCATGCTATTCTGGTTACAGGAAGGATTGTTATTGAATGGCTAGACTGGTCCTTGGGAAATCTATAGTCAATTCCCAGCTGTCCAATGGCCTTTTTTAAAGCACACGTGTACCTTGAAGTTAATAGGATCACGTATATGCTTACACAACTTGTTTCAGTTCCCCATTTTTACTGAGTACAAGACACTTTCATCCTTGTTTTCCCTCAGCTTTTATATTGTAAATTCTTTGGGGGATAAGTTCTGTTTTACTCTGTATTTCTTCAGCA